ATTATTTTATTCTGTCTTTAGTAAGGATGTTCCTGCTGACTGATGTTGCTGTTGATTAAACTGGTTGACTGGTTTAAAAGTAAGAAAATGTCAGAAAACAGTCAAAATCAGAATTTAAAGAGTGTAAAAACACACTTTACCTCAGTATGATCAGTTATACACAAGCAGTTTGTTACAATATCAGGATTTAAATGTCAGTAAACATGTTGGGATGCGACTGAAATGGACAACAACGAACAGCGAACCCTCTCGTGGCTGATTGATGGTTGTAGAATAACTTTAGACATGACGGCATCAGCGATGAACTTACAGCGGATAATGTCACTGCTTTCAGGGAGCAGGTAAGCTCATGCTGTTACCTATTACCTGTTAACTGTCAGTACACAGCGAGGCTGACAGCTGGTTTATAATGTGAGTTTTCAGTGTTTAACGTCACCCTAACCTACCGTCCTCTCTCCCCTGAATAGAGCCATCGCCAACAACTATAACCTCTAAAGTGGGACAAAGAGGACTCTTAAAACCAGCGCTGACATTAATGCAGGGACACACTGCAGAAAGACGACATTAACCAGCGTGTACATTAATAACATATAATAATTAGTTTAACCGACTAGTATTTCTGGTGTTGAATAGCGAGGGGAGTCGACTACGCCCACATCCCAAATCTTTATTACTATTTTTCCATTATAGGACAAAGTCTCTGCTTCTTTGTGTAATGTTATCTGAGCTGTAAAAACACAACAGCACTCCTTCCAACAGTGTTATGACTTTCAAACACGAGCAGTGGCCACAGCGTCGAGGAACCACTAGATGGTGGTAGTGATCTTCAGACTGACGGTGACTCAATGTGAGCACGCAGCATATATACTGTACTTCTGGGATCATAGGGTAAGACCTTCAACCTACAATTACAGTCTCAATGACAAAGAGCCACCTGAACCCAACCCTGCATATCAGATACACACCGTCCACGCCTTCACAGCTGATAATAATGTGTGTGTGTGTGTGTACGGTTGTAAACACACAGCCAGAGGTTAGAAAACCCATTTCAGGATGTAAAAGAAGTGAACTACAGGAGTAAAAGTTGAGCTCTGAGGCTGCTGACAGGCTGCTGCTGATGGCTGAGACGTACTCATTAACCATTTGACTAATCCAATCCTGAATTACAGGCCTGAGAAGGTGTTTGACCGCCACTTTCCTGCAGCGTGACGTGGGAGGGGTGGAAGCCTTCAACATTAGTCACCGACTCTTTAAAACCTCAGCTCAGCAGCACTGAGCCGTCGACTGACTGCATTCCTCTCCTACCTCGTCTGTCTTCATTGCATTGCACTCAAACTACACTCTGCTGTAACAAAGGGCTCACAGCACGCCATCAGGCAGCAGTTACATCTTTCAGGAAGTCAGTTTTGCTGCAGCCTGACTCACCCAGCTGTGGCGGTCCTGCTCCCTGTGGGCGCTGCGACTCCTCATCCTGGACAGGCTTCCCTCCACGGCGCTGCTCGAAGGGGCCGATCGGCGGGAAACGCTGCGAGACCGCATCCTGTTCAGCTCCTGACAACAAACAGGGATCAAAGTGAACTTCTGTTCTCAAACTGTATTTCATTAACTTTTGTTTGACTCCATTCAGACTTCTTTCAGGAGCCAGTTGGTTGTTTTCTCTGATGGGTTCAGCAGGTTGGACAGCTAGTTTTTAAACTGCTGGAACATTTATTACAACAACTCTTACAATAATAATAATCTGGAACAACCGGCCACTTGAGTGTGTCGCTGAAACAGACACACACAAAAGTTATATTTACTTCCAACACACCAATGCTAAAAAAAGCTACAGCATATTACGAGTTAAAACTACGACTGTGTGCACTTTGTCTCATACTGTTTTATCTCAGGCATCTATAAAATTATTTGAATCTCGCAGCACTTTACAACAGCTCATTTGCATTTAATACAACCGGCTTTTTTCTGATCTTTATTTACAGATCTCTCAATATTACAACATCACCTGTCTTATAATGACAGAGGCTCTCAACCCGGAGTCTGGGGACTATTTATTTCATTCACTGAAGGTCAGCCCAGTGAGACAATGTATAAGAATGTTTCACACTCTCGTACAGACACTTAATTAATAACTAAATCTGATCAGACGAGGATCTCTGAGACCTCTAATCAAATACGGGTCCTTGTACAACTCTCTGACCTCCGACTCACCTGAGATCCCTGTGATCTCCTGTGGCTCCGGACGTCTTGAGGCTGTGTCTCTCTGGGGATCCAGATCTGTTCTGCAGAAGAAACACCTGGAGCGCCTCCAGGTTTGGTCTCGGCAAGAAGAAGCAGCTCGTCCAGCACGGTGGACCGGTGCCTCTGTGGAGCCGCGAGCCGCTCCTCCTGCCTGAGGAGGAGGTGCTCCGGGCCGGGTTTGCTGGCTGGTTTTCTGGGTTCGGCAGGCGCCTCGACAGGCCTCAGCTCCCACGGGTCCTGGGGAGACGTCGTCCATACTGGGCTCGTGAAACCTCCAGAAGTCTGTGGCGGTGCCTTCCAGCTAACGTCTCTCTCGGGCTGTAATCTCGGTCCAAAGCCAGCGTCCACGCTCTGAATACCGGACACAGAGAACAAGTCTTTACTGGGGGAGAGCTGAGCCGGAGACGTGAAAGAGTCTATGTCGAAGATGCTGGATTTGTAGGACTCGTCTGCTCTCGGAGACGGCTCCTTCCATCGCGTCGCAGGGTCGCTGCGCTGAGGAGCCGCCTTTGAAAACGGGTCGCTCCAGAGCAGAGAGTCCAGATCCATCCCTTTGGGCCTGAGAGGAGACAGCTCCGACCTCGCCCTCTCCTGCTCCGACCTCGTCCTCTCCTGCTCCGACCTCGCCCTCTCCTGCTCCTCTTTCTTCTGCTTCTCCTTCAGTCGCTGCCTCTCTGCTTCCTGCTGTTTGGCGATGTGTCTCATTTTATCGGCCTCCTCCCGTTCCATCTTCTCCCTCAGTCTGCGTTTCTCCAGCTCCAAGATTTGCTGCCTCTCGAACTCCAGGAGCTGTCTTCTCTCGATCTCCCTGAGTCTCTCCGTCTCCTGTTCTCGTCTCAGCCTCTGGTTTTCCAACTCCTGTCTCTCGATATCCAGCTGTCTCTGTCGCTCTCTCTCTAAATCCCTTTGTCTCTGTCTCTCCAGCTCCTTCTGCTTTTGCCTTTCCATCTCTTTCAGACGCTCCTTCTCCATCTCCCGTTGTCTTTCTCTTTCTTTTTCAAGCTCTCTCAGTCTTAACATTTCCTGCTCTAACGCCATCTGTTTGATCTTCTCTGCCTCTTCTCGCTCCTTCTTCTCTCGGAGTCTCTGCTTTTCTGATTCCTGTCTCTCCATCTCCTGTTGTCTCTGGTCTCTCTCTCTCCATCTCCTGTTGTCTCTGTCTCTCCTCCTCCCCATCTCCTGTTGTCTCTGTCTTCTTCTCTCCATTCTCCTGTGTCTCTGTCTCTCTCTCTCCATCTCTAGTTGTCTCTGTCTCTCTCTCTCCAAATCCCTTTGTCTCTGTCTCTCCATCTCTTTCAGATGCTCCTTCTCCATCTCTCGCTGTCTTTCCCTTTCTTTTTCGAGCTCTCTCAGTCTTAACATTTCCTGCTCTAACGCCATCTGTTTGCTCTTCTCTGCCTCCTCTCTCTCCTTCTCTCGGAGCCTCTCTTTCTCTTTCTGCTTCTGTTTTTGAGACTCTAAGAGCTGTAGTCTGTCCAGCTCTTTGATTCTCTCCAGCTCCTCCATTTTCTGTTTCTCCCTTTGAAGCTCCAGCAGCCTTCTCTCCTTGTCCAGCTCTCTCTGTCTCTCCAGCTCTCTCTGTCTCTCCAGCTCTCTCTGTCTCTCCCTTTCAATCTTTTTCTGTCTCTCCATTTGTTGCCATTGCCTTTCTCTTTCCTGCCTCTCTAATTCTTTCTGCCTTTCCAGTGCACGTTGTTTCTCCTCTTCGTAGGCTTTCTGTCTTTGCCTTTCAAACTGTCTTTGTTTCTCCATCTCCTTCATTCGCTCAAATTCTAAATGTGCTTCTTTCTCCATCTCCAGCTGTCTCTGTCTTTCCCTCTCGAGCTCTTTAAGCTTTGCTTTGTATCTTTCTGTCTCTTCTGCCGATCTGATGTCCCCTTGTGACACGTGACTCCTTATCATCAGCTCCTCAACTTGATCTTGAGCGGTTTTCCCAAAAGCTTCTTCTAACGATGGATTCCTCCTCGCTGGAAGAACCTTCCCTTGAGAGCTTCCCGGTGCAGACCTCATAGAGAAATCATCGAACGGCGCCGACATGTCCCCGGTGCTCGCTCCTGCATCTACAGGAGAAAACGGATCCTGCATTTGACCCGTCAAAGCAAAGTAGGTTGCCCTGGGCTTCGGCTGCTCCTCTGCCTGCAGCATTTTCAAACGTTTCGGAGATGCAGCCACGTCCTCCTGTTCTGCCTCTCTCTGTCTGTCTTTGTCCAAAGCCACTTGTTCTTCCCTTCGTGGATCCTTTAGCATCCCTTTCTCCGCACCGGCCTCCTGTTCGAGACCCGGGGTGTTCCACTTCTGCAGGGCTCCGACTCTCAGATACCGCGGCTGCTGAGCCGGCATCGCTGGTTCGCTTTGAGCCGCACCGGCCCGGCTCCCCTCTGAGCGCCTGGAGCGTAGCGTCATGGCCTTATCCTCCCACTGAGCTGACGGGATGTTCTCACTCACCGCCCTGTTCTCCTCCACCGCCTGCACAGTGTCGAAGGCGTGCAACACCCGCAGAGGACCTGATGGAGATGCAGGCTCTTTGTAGGTGGCGGTGACCAGAGTTCCCTCATCCTCGCCACTTTCTCTCTTGAATGACGGGCTGCTGAGCGAATCCTTGGCCTTGCTTACAGGCTTTCCATCGTCCACCATCATCACACTGCGTTTCTCCACGACATTTTCAAACAAGGCTGCTCTCACTGTCTGCACGTCCCCACCGGGAGCACTGTCCTTGGAAGTGGCGCCAAACGTCTGTCCCGCCTCGGGTCCTTCCGGCGTGGAGGCCTTTTTGAGCTGCTCTTGGGAATCTTTAAAATCCACAAACGTCCTCTGGTCACTGGGGGAGAAAGGTGAGTCTTCGATCTAAGAGAAGTCAGAGATATAGTGAATGAGAACAAGCTTGAAATGTACTTTTTTTATTTAAATGAAAGCTTTAAGAACTCCAGGAGAAAACACAGAACACAAAGGAGTTAAAGTGATTGAGTGAACAACTGTCAGCGTAGAAACGGTATCTCCTTGTTCTACGTTGGCCTCCTAACAGTGGGTGTGGCGCAGAGGTGGTAATCAAAGCCTCTCTGTGTTGACCTTTTCCCAGTCATCTCCTCTCTGTGTTTCATAACCGGCAGCCACGGGGCTGGGTTCGGTTTCACAGCTTTGTACGTCTACGGCAGTGATCATTCTTTGTGTTGCAATGCCCCATTTCCACAAATGTTCTAGTGAACGCCATCAGACAGGTCGACAGCAAGAGCTTATTTCATAACAGCAATTATATATGCAGGCAGTCAACTTCCACCTTGTTCACAATCTACTTCTCAGACTTACCTGCATTATGTTCATGTCCCCGTTGTGTTGCCTTTCCTTTGCTATATGCTGTGAAGGGCTGTAAGCAACTATTCTATTATTATCAATTAATCTTTTAGTTGTTTGGTCCATAAAAAGCTCTCCTAAAGCTCAAGCTGACTTCCTTAAACGTCCTGTTTTGTCCACAACACAAAGATTTTCAGTTTAAACCAGAAAATATTCACATTTGAGAAGCTGAAATCAGAGAATTAGAAGATTGTTTCTTTAAGAAAAGTGATTCAAAATGAAGAATTGGTTATTATAATAGTTGATGATTCATAAGAAATGAGAAGAAACACAGAGCAGGGGTCTCAAACTATTGACCGGGGGCCATTTCTGGTCCTCCATCGCTTCCATCCGGCAACATCATGCTGCAAGTTTATAGTCGTTTAAAATAAACACATTTATAATTTAAACTAACCCTTCATAAACAATTAAAATAAAAACACTATTATATATTTTTATTATTTTATTTGGCTGTAAAGATGATAAATGTTTTTAAAGCCTGATGTTAGAAAGAATATTGAGCTAGTATCTGAACATTGAAGTGGCCCTTCTATAAGAGAGGACAGTACCAGCTGTGGCCCCGAGCCGACTGGAGTTTGAGGCCCCTGATTCAGAGCATGAAGCTGTAAAGGCCTTTAAACACTGGGGGCGTTTATTATTCAGTAGGTTTTTGAGGAACAGACGTCACAACTCAGGTCGAACCTGTTGTTTATGTTTCTGTCTAAATGACAACTGACACCACAAAGCCTTTAGTGACGAGGTGGAGGCTGTAATCACTTTCTGAAAGGTGCTAATGTGGATTTAATGGGTTGTCCGGCCCCTTTAAAGGCATTTCAACAGGGAAAAGTTAGTTATAAACTGAAATTAAGCTGAAAATAAACTTTTAGTGACAATTACAAAAGACAATGTGTGAGTTGGGACGCTGTGTGGGATTTACTGAAGCTAATTTGGAGTCAGATTTAAGTGTGTGTGGATTTAATTCTTTATTTCAATGTGTCACTAATTGGTTCGTATAGTTTGGAGTATTTATTGGTCTCGCCCCCGGTGTGTAAAGGCATTAAAGTTGTTTCTCATATCCTTGTTAAACACAGAGGCCAACAAAGAAAGCAGTTCCTACGAAGCTGAGTCCCTCTCTTACCCTCCTCTGAGGATCTTTGCTGATGTCATGGCGGTCTGTGGCCTCGCTGCCAAAGTCTGGCGACCTCTCGGATGAAAACCTGATGAACATACATCACACGAGACAAAAGCCATGCATGACAATGGAACTCGTGGACAAAGACGTGGGGACAAAAGCCAGCCGAGACATCAAGAGCAGCTCTTACCTTTTAGTCAGGTCGAGGGGCAAGGGGCGGGGCTTCGGCGGAGGTTTCGGGACGGGGCTCGGAGCTGGTGTCGTGTCCTCTGTCAGCTGTTTGATGAGCTGTTTCACACCAACCGCTGGTTCTGTTTCAGGGACTGGTTGCACCGGAGAGAGGTCCGACCCTTGACCCGTGGTACCTGCCCCAGGAGAGGAGGACGAGTCGAGGAGGAGACTGATTCGTGACTTGATGCTCACCGCACGCTTCTCCTCCTCCGTCTCTTTCACCTCTTCTGTCTTTTTGTTGCTTTGGTCTGAGGCGGCGGGCTTCGCCTCGCCTTCGGTGCTCTGCGGCGTGGAGCTGGTAGCGGTTTTCTCCGGCTCTTTCTTCTGTGGAGCGCTCTCCGGAGTGTTCTCCTTCGTGTCCGTGGGGGTTTTACGGTGCAGGGAAAGACCGATAGACTCAAATCTGGACGTGAGATCCGCTGACAGAGGTCTCCTCCCGACCCAGCGAGGGGCGGGAACCGGTGGCTCCGCTTTTGTAGGACTGTCGATGAAAATGGCCGATACGGGTCTGGGCCTGGAGCCTCTGGGGTGGGGTCGCATCGGCACTGCTGCCACTGGTTTAGCCTTTTCTTCTTCGTCCTGCCCCACCTGAGCGAGGAAACCCATGGACTTGGCTCTGGTGATGGACGGCCCACCTTTGCTGGATGTCAGCTGGTCCTTCTCGTCCTCCTTTCTAGTGGTTCCGGACCACTCTGCTGCTGCTGGTGCTGCTGGGAGTTTCCTAAGGCTCTTGGAATAGGCCAAGCTCGACGCGGCAGGTTTCTGCCTCTCTGCTGGAACAGGGGTGGTGGGTTTGCTGGGGTCTCCGGGGTCAAGCGAAGGGGCTGGTTTAAACGGCTGGACTACCGGCTTGGTGGTTTGTCCGGTTTTATTCGGAGTCTTAAAGGAGGTAGAGGTGGGTCGGTTGGGGTTGGTGGACACCGGCCTGGGTTTGCTGGGCTGCTGCGGTTTCGGACTGCACAGAGGCTCTGGTGTGTATCCGACAAGGCGAGTGGACTCCGGTCGGGGCTTGGTGTGGGGCTTCGGGGCGACTATGGGCTTAATGGTGGTGTTTCTCTCCACAGCAAAAGGTTTGGGAGTGAGCCGAGGTTTGGGGCCCGGCACAGGTTTGTTAGGTTCTGGGGTGATGATGTGGGACTGGTTGATCTCGATGAGGCTATTGCTGGAGTCAGTCAGGGGACTCAGGTGAAGCCGTCCTCCCACCACTGTCCTCCCTACCTCCCCGGGCTGGACCTCCACCTGAGCAGCCATCGTCTTCAACAGCACCTTTAAAAAAAGAGAAAGTTCTGCTCAGAACGACACAAACTGATCCGTGGTCATTTTAATCATCGATGTACTCGTTAATAAAAAACCACAGGGTGTGGACTTTGTCCTGGGAGCGTCTGCAGCACGATTATACACCTGAATGAGAAAGATATTTACTCAAGATTATTGATCACTCTAGTAGGTTAGAGCTTTATGTGTTGACAGCTGAATGAGGAATCACACTTTAATAACTGTCATCCACAGCGATGGGCCCGTTTCATGATAGATATTATTTATGAGAAACTAAATGGGATGCAGTCATTATTCTGTGTGTTTTCTCTACCATGACATTAAACAAAGGACTTTGGTTTCATCGGGAGTCGCGTGTTTCAGCTGTGTCAGTGACGACTATTTAAATGCGTTTCCTGTATTTTTACATACACTTTATTTGTTTGGTTGCTACGTACTCTGTGCACTCTTTCAGTAAGTGATTTAAAGCTGGTTGAAAAGAATCATAAAGACATCTTTACAAACAATGTTCAGTAAAGATTCATTCCTCTGAATCTGTGTCTTCTATGTTTCCTGGGACATTACAACCATAAATCAACCAACAACCTTCTTAAAAACTACCAGCAGCACTAAAAACATTTGATTTTAGTCCATCTTCACTCTAATAATATAATCTAATACTCTACCATGAAATATAATTACAATCCTTATTGTTGTGTTATTATGTGACTCTATCTCCAATTTTATACATAAATACAAAAGATAACCACTTTAAAAATGTCACAATAGTGGAACAATAGTCTATTTGTTTTACTGTTTTAGAGGATTATATCTGCGGGAATCCCCTCTGAACAAATGTTTAATGTCAGGTGTGAAGATAAAAAGTCAATCGAACGAGGATTATTAGAAATTACAGTAAAAACTGAGGACTTTATGTTTCCTTGCTCCAACTTCTAAAAAAAATGGCCTAACAGTTTAAATATTACTGTTTCATCAGGATTCATTGATTACACCTTTAATTAGCAATTAATTAGGAAAGTAGTTTAACAACAGGCATGCAAAGTACAATCACCTGATAATGATCCTGATCAGCCAGCGTCAGTAATCAATACATACATTATTAAAGCATTAATCAACCTGATCAGTGTTTCTGTAGTGGAGACTAAACGTTAATGATCCATAT